CACCATAGCTAGTAGCCATTGACAGACTTATCTGCCATGAATCTATCTAATCCACTTTTAAAACTGTTTATTCCTGTGGCCATCACTACATCCTCTGGCAGAGAATTCCACATTTTAATCACTCTCTGTGTAAAGTAGTATTTCCTTTTGTCCATCCTGAACCTACTGCCCATCAGTTTCATTGGATGCCCTTGAGTTCTACTATTCTGGGAGAGGGAGAAAAATGTCTCTTTCTCAACTCTCTCCACCCCATGTATAATTTTATAAACCTCTATCATGTCTCCCCCTTAGTTGTCTCTGTTCTAAACTGAAACATCGCAGACTCTTCAGCCTTTCCTCATAAGGAAGGAAGGCAGGTACTCCACTGTACTGCTATCCTCTGCACTTTTTCCAGCTCTGCAATGTCCTTTCAGAAATACGGTGACCAGAACTGTACACAGTATTCCAAATGAGGCCAGACCAGATGCCAGACCATAGACCATGAGTGTCTTAATGCATCATATGTAGGAAAACATGCATTCATATGATTCATGTACAGATGACGCACTGTGTCAAGAGCAAGCCATAATTCAAAATCCAGGAACAGCAGAGTTGGAAAAGACTCAAAGAACCTGAGAAAGCAAATGGAACAGAAGTCAAATCAAAGAGTCGTGCCAGAAACAGCCAGTGGGCATCGTGGGCTGGAAGAAAGGGTATTTGGGGTATTCAGTCATGAGAGGCACATTAACACATGAAGCTGCTGCCTTATACCGCATCAGATCACTGGCCCATCAAAGGCAGTATTGTTTGCTCTTACTGGCAACAGCTTTCCAAGGTCTCAGGCAGACGCCTTTCTCATCACCTATTATCCTATCCTTTTAACTGGAAATGCCAGCAATTGAACCAGAGACAGTCTTCATGCCAAGCAGATGCACTACCACCAAGCCTCAGCCGGATCTCTGTTCACAGCCATGGGAAAGAAGAGTCATGTGACAGAGAGTACAGAGAGCGACAGTACATCACTCATCCACCTCGAATAAAACTTTGTTGATCTTAAAAGTGCCACTGGACTCAAACTTTGTTCGGCTGCTTCAGACCAACACGGCTACGCACGTTTTCTACGTTTTCACTGTACATGAGTAGAAGTTGGTGTCTGGCACAGAATTCAGTCCTATAAAGCTCTGCTAATTCTTTATACCTGCCAACCTAGCAGTTCGAAAGCAAGAAATTGCAAATAGATAAATAGGTACTGCTTCGGTGGGAAGGTAACAGCGTGCCGTGCGCCTTGGTGTTTAGTCATGCCGACCACGTGACCACGGAAACGTCTTCGGACAGCGCTGGCTCTTCGGCTTGGAAACGGAGATGAGCACCGCAACCCTAGAGTCAGATTCGACTGGCTTTCGAGCAAGGGAACCTTTACCTTTTAATTCTTTATAGCAAGTCTTCTTTACAGCCTGAGAGGACGAGCTTGACTATGAAATCTGAGGAATCCATGTGCAGGTTAGGCAGGACATCCACTGATCAGGGCATGAGCCTTTAGCTTTCTGCACAGGCCACTGGCCCAAGCGAAATAAATCAGAAAGAATTATATGCCCAACAAGCATATATGCATACTGGCACAATTTGCTTAACTTGTTCAGACTACAGAGTGTTCATTTTTTTTTCTTGGCAGAGAGCCAAGATTTAATTTGGCACAAAATTTGTACTCAGCCCTTGACATACACCAATGCCCACAGTGGGTGCTTGTGATGCAGTCCCTTTGTTAGAGCATTAGTTGGCTTTACAATTGCCAAGTGGGTTCTGCCAAAGAAGAAACTAATAAGGTAGCTGAAAGGGAAATTAACACAAAGGTCTTCTCCTGCAGGGAAGGGAAGTCAGTCTCTCCTTGCTCCCCCCCCCCCAGCACTTGGCAAAAGGTTGCAGAAAAGAGCTGAGCTCAGGGAAAGATTAAGAACAAGGTTTTCTTTAGGGCACCTCATGCCATACTGGTAGGCCACGGGAAGGCACAAGAAATTTGCTGTGTGGTTTAGAAAGGCAAGTTAGGGTAGAGTTCAGGGACTTCTTCCTCCTGTTGTATAGCAAAGGGGGACATCAAGTGATAAAAACAAAGGTCAGAGAGGTCCCCAGCAATGTTCCCTCTAAGATGTGGTGTCCTGTGAGCAAAAATTTTACTTTGTGAGCTACCGGCCTTAAAGTTGTGAGCGAGCCATTTGGCTCCTGCATAAATTAGTCTGCTCTGGAGCCCTCCTTCCTGAGCTAAGACAAAAATGCGTGAGCCGGAGGCTAAGAAACTGTGAGCTAGCTCACACTAATTCAGCTTAGAGGGAACACTGGTCCCCAGCACTCCAACTCAGTTGCTGTTTTATTTAGGTTATTTCTCAAGGAGTCTCAAGGTGGATTACACAGTGCAAACCAATTTTCTGATATCTAACAAGCAATGTAATAGGATTAAGACTGCAGAAATCTGAACTAAGCAGACATTTGAAACAAACCATAAGTATCAACCTGCCATCTTGAACAGTGCATAGCACTGTCTCATAGCAGGGTAATACACAGAGCAACACAGTGGTACAGTCCCTTTCCTTTTCCTAAAGCATCTTCCTGACTAAATATAGCCCTATTACCACCGTAAAAGCACCACCATTAATAACAGTTTTACATATTTTGTGGAATGCCAGGAGAGTGGGAGTCTTCCTGACCTCACCAGGCAAACCACTCCATAAAGTGGGGGCCACAACAGAGAAAGCAGGTGTATGGGCAGTTGTTGATCTTGCCCATTTGCAGGGCAGCACCCCCAGAAGGCCCTGTTCTGATAAGTGATGCTGTCATGGGGGAGCGCAAGAGATACAGTCCTGCAGATATGAGGGCCCAAGGCCATGTAGGGTTTTGCATGTGGCAGCCAATGCCTTGAATTGAACTGGTAAACTGATGGGCAGCCAATGGGGTGACTGCAGGACGAGACTCATATGCCTGCTCTGCCTAGCTCCTTAGCCTTGACAGACCAGACACAACGGTGGTTGCAGGAGGTTTCAGTTGCTCCTGTGGCAAACAGTTTGGCAGGCCCTTGGCATAGAAGGCGCAGAAGCAGAAACGGAGTCAGTCATACAAGGGTAGGGGGATAAAGGCAAGATAGAGGGGAAACTGAGACTGAGAGAGAAGTCTGGGTTTGGGGGAAAGAAGTACATAAAGAGTTCACTGGGTACTCGAGGGCCCAAGGCCTGGTTAGTAGGGCACATGAGGCAGCCATCTTGCTGATGCAAAGCTGGTCACAGTCTGATCGCTGCCTGGGTGGGAGAACTCTACTGCTGAGGCTCAGCAGCAGAGCACCTGCTTTACATGCGGAAGGTTCAATCCCTACTATCTCCAGTTAAAATTATTTGGCTGGTTTTTTTTGTTGTTGTTTCATTTTTTGCCATCCAGTCGCAGCCAACTTAATGGCGACCCCATTTGGTTTTCAAGGCAAGGGGTGCTCAGAGGTGCCTTGCCACTGTCTGCCTCTGCATGAGGATGCTGGACCAAAGAGCAGCCAGGGCTGACCTTGCTTAGCTTTCAAGATCTGACAAGATCACGCTAGCCTGGGCTACGAAAGACCTCCTTCACCAAAAACTCAGGAGAGCGGCTGCCAGTGACAGCTGACAAGACTGACCTTGAGAGACCAGCGCTGTGACTGAATAGAAGGCGGCTTCAGTATGCTTTCAGAAACCCCACGGGCAGTCTCCTTGAGCACACGTAAGAAAGGCAGGATAGGTAAAGGTAAAGGTTCCCTTGCTCGAAAGCCAGTCGAATCCGACTCTAGGGTTGCAGTGCTCATCTCCGTTTCAAAGCCGAAGAGCCAGCGCTGTCCGAAGACGTTTCCGTGGTCACGTGGCCGGCATGACTAAACACCAAGGCGCATGGAACGCGGTTACCTTCCCACCGAAGTGGTACCTATTTATCTCCTTGCAATTTCTTGCTTTCGAACTGCTAGGTTGGCAGGAGCTGGAACTAGAGACGGGAGCTCACTCCGTCATGCGGCTCGCTCGGGTCTCGAACTGCTGAACTACCGACCTTCCACAGCCTGCAGTTCAGAGTCTTAACATAGGAATCGTGGTCATGGCAGAAAAAGGAAAGAGGAAAGAGGAGGTCAGGAGCCTTGCTGCCGGGCTTGGCCCCGGCACCCACTGAGGGCTCAGCGCTAGGATATATAAAGCCATGCCTCTGAGAACATGCCGAGAACCTCCCACTTCGCCCCAGCCTGCTGAGATGATAAGCAAGTGTTTGCAGATCTCAGGGTGTCATGAGTCAGGCTTTAGGGCTGGAAAGAACAAATTACATGGAAAAGGAGGAGTAGGCCAGTAGTTAGGCCATCAGTGTGGGGAACAGGAACGCAGAAGGAGGGAGAGAGCAGAACTTGGCAGCCTTAGCAAGGAGAAACAGCCTTCAAACATCAACACACCCTTCATGTCTATGCTAATCCGGAGTACCTACCGCTCCCTTGTTTCATATTTACAGTCCCTAATGTGAATCAGAAACACACACACACACCCGCGCCGCATCTCTTCATCCATAATCATGCAGGTTGTGGAGAGAGGGGGTGGGGAAGCCAGACCCATTATTTTCTCTATCCTCCTGACAGATAGGATGTTAATAGGTAACCAGCCTGCTTCAAGGGACCTCTGCTCATCCTTAAGAAAAAAAGAACTAGGGGGGGGGGGTTGATCTTGCTGCTTTAGAGAAAGGCAGGGGGGCATTTTGATACAGGGCATATCCAGCGCCGGTCGAACCATTCCGAAAATTGGGATCCTTCAGAAGGAGACCGTTCCTCTTCTGATCTCGAAGAGGGAAAACAGAAGCAGGAAAAGTCTTCGGGGCGAGCTTTCGGGAGAGGGGAGTGCTGGGAGGGGGGGGGGCGCGCTTCGAGCCTGGGAACGGAGAGGCTCCCGCTGCCGGCGCCTGCCAACTTTCGAAGGCGGGGTTGCACGTGAGAACGGCCCCCGGCCGGGGGCTACGGAAAGCGGGGATCCCCTGCGGCGGCCACTCACCCACGCCGTACTTCTCCCGCTTGGTGGGGATCCAGCGGGCCATGCCGGGGCGGAGAGGGGGGCGCTGCTCCCTCTCCGTCTCCTGCGGCGCGTCGTCCTACCCGGCAGGCGGCTCCCCCTCCGCCTCATCCAGCCTCGGCTGCTCCGGCCTCTCCCGCCATGCTCCGGGCGTCGGAGCCGGACCGCAGTTCCCGGCGAACTTCGTGCTCCAACCAGCAGCCGCGCCGCGCCGCGCCGCCGGCAGAGAACTTTCTTGCCCAGCCCAGCCCGGTCCGTCCCTTCTCCTGCGGCGGCGGCGGCGGCCGCTCCTGCTGTTGCCGAGTCAGAGCGAGGGGGCGGTCGCTGCCCGCCCCTGCCGGGTGGGATCACCTGCTTCCCCAGGCCCGGCTCCTCCTTTGTCCTGCCCAGGCCGGGAACGCCTTGAAGCTGCCCGGCGCCCACAGACAGAGCCCGCCTGGGCGGCTAGTCTCCCCGGCGCGCTTACTTGGGAGGAGGCGATCCGTCCAGCTTCTTTCGGAGCGTTCAGCGCATAGACAACATGGCTCTCGGGAATGCAGCAGGCTGCGGGCAGTCCTAAACGCCCGGCTTGTTTGGAGGCCAATCCCTCCCACGGAGGAATCACAGCCGAGGAAATCACGGGCACGCAATCCTGATGCCTGGTCATGCTAGAGGGACTGTTTGACTTTTGAAGGAACGGGCGGGCTGCGGGCGTTTATCTTTTCCTTCCCTAATTTGAAAGATGAAACAAACGACGTCCTCAATTCGGAAAAAATACTTTTGCTGCCCGATATTTCCCTAGCGTTACCATTTTGGTTGACCCTGCGATGTTTGTTAAGCGGTCTGTGCACTTGTGTAATAAATATAATCAGTCGCAAGTTGGAGAGAAAAGAAAGAAATGATAATAAATATTTGCATAGTGACCAGTTTCTTTCTTCTGTTCCAAGCAGGTCTTCTTAAAAAAAAAAAAAGAGGTGCCCAAGGGGACTCTCAAGAAGGAAATGAAGTTTTCAATCTGTATACTTAAAACTCATAAACTTCTAAACATTTTAAAAGAATTTTGTCAACGAGGTTCCAGTGCATTCCCCTAGAGAGAGAAAAAGTCCAAGTTCCAAGGAATAGGGTGTTCAATTTGTAGCTCTCAAGTCAAATGCGGATAAAAAGAGCAAGAGTACAGTAGTCAGTTTGGTGTAGTGGTTAAGTGTGTGGACTCTAATCTGGGAGAACCGGGTTTGATTCCCCACGCCTCCACTTGCAGCTGCTGGATGACCTTGGACAAGCCATAGTTCTGTCAGAGCTGGTCTCTCAAGGACAGTTCTCTCTGAGCTCTCTCAGCCCCACCCACCTCACAGGGTGTCTGTTGTGGGGAGGGGAAGGGAAAGGAGTTTGTAAGCTGCTCTGAGACTCCGAGTGAAGGGCGGGGTATAAATCCAATCTCTTCTTCTTCTTCTTCGTAACAAAATATGTGGCACAGTATGTGAAGAAGTGAGCAGTGACTCACAAAAGCTCATACCGTGCCAGATATTTTGTTATTCTTTAAGGAGCTGCTGGACTCTTGCTCTTTTCTGCTGCTACGGACAGACTAACATAGCTACCCATCTTGATGTATCTGTGTCCTGGCCTGTGCAGCCCACCTCAGATTTTAGGGAGAAAAAAACAGCTGTTCAAATTTAATTTCACTACAGCTGCATCATGCCACTGAGGCACCATTGTTATCCTTAGAAGATGCAGTGGGCACACACAGATTTCTGATTACCTGGCCGACTATTGAACAAAATAGTAGAATCCATGAGCTTTCTAATGTTAGTGAACAGTAGGTAACAATATAAAATCTGTCTTGGGAAAATAACACAGCTCAAACTATGTATGTATGTATTGGGGTGGAGTTTTAAGTAATAATTAACTTCAGAGTGTTAAAACAAAGCTGTTATTTCTTCAAAGTGCATTCCTAAACAGAGTTGAACCCTTCAAAGTCCATTGAAACCAATGGGCTTAGAAGGGCGTAAATGTTGAGGGCTGCAGTGTCAGTGTATTCACTGAAGCAATAGACCTGATGTAACAATGAAAGTAATGGATCAAAAGGAGTTGGCCTGGCCTTTCGCCAGCAGCAGTGATCAAGAGATATTTTCACATGGTTCTAGTGTGGCCTGAGGATAGGGTTACCAACCTCCAAGTGAGGCCTGGAGTTCTTCCAGAATTACTACTGATCTCAGAGCTCAGTTCCCCTGGAGAAAATGGCAGCAACAGAGGGTAGACTCTATAGGACACGATAGATTCCAGGTGAAATCCCTTCCCAACCCCTCCCCAAGCATTGCCCCAGGCCAGAGTTGGCAACCCTACCTGAGGGTGGATCATAGACCTAGTACACTGACATCTTGTCAGTGGCACATTCCACTGCGCGTTGCCTTTCTAACACTATTCCCCTGGAGAAAATGGCAGCAACAGAGGGTAGACTCTATAGGACACGATAGATTCCAGGTGAAATCCCTTCCCAACCCCTCCCCAAGCATTGCCCCAGGCCAGAGTTGGCAACCCTACCTGAGGGCGGATCATAGACCAAGTACAGGCAAAGCACTTACCCACACACGTGTCCCATGTGGTTCCCATCTTATTTAAATGACATCTTGTCAGTGGCACATTCCACTGTGCATTGCCTTTCTAACACTGCATGCCTTATGAGCTGGAGAACATGAGAAGCCACATTGAAAATTTAGGCCTGGTTCACACAGGCAGAAAAGTTGCAGTGGCAAAAGCCTGAGGTGGTAGAATCAACGGCACCATTTAGACTGCAGGTTGTCTAGAAGGGTGACTGAAGAGTGCAGAGTAGGCAGCAGGCTGAGGGAAAAGAATCTGAGGGAAGGGTAGATAGGGAAGAAGGAAACTTAAGGAGAAAGGCCAAGGCTGGAAAGGGGGCTCTGAAGAAAGGGGTGGGAAACAGGAGTGCTAGAGAGATTAAAAGAGAGTCAAAAAGAAATGGCTTAAAACAGGGAGAGGGCTGAAAAGCAAGAATGAAAAGAATGGCTGTTGAAGGTGAAGAAAAGGGAAAGTAACAGAAACTACAGTTTTCCATCAGTCCTGGCAGAAAGTCATGCTGGGAGATATTGAGAAGAGTTATTTACAGGCACATTAGGCCTTGGTCTGGGCCCACCTTCTGTTTAAAGTTTTATTTGTTTGTCAAGTTTTATTTGTTTGTTTGTTGAATTAAAAACCTGCCCTCACCACCAAAGCAGGCTCAGGGCAGCTTACAAGGCCATTGGCATTATAAAAACATTAAGACAATAAAAAATAAATTAAAATCATAAAAAACAAATTCCAAATGTGCTGCATATATACGGTGGCAAAGAGGTTCCTGATCGGCCACAATGGGGTCAGCGATGAATATGCGGCTGGTGTCTGGCTCCTTGACACATTGTTCCTCGGTGTGGGCAGCCAGCCAGGATGGATTATAGGGCATAGGTTACCCAGTTGATGTCGGGCAAATTAATGTGGCATCTCACTCAAATGCTTGGCAGAAGAGCTCCGTTTTGCAGGCCCTGCAAAATTGTGATAAATCCCACAGAGCCCTGATGTCCTCAGGGAGCTCATTCCACCAAAGCGGTGGCGCCACTGAGAAAGCTCTAGCCCTAGTTGTAGCCAGCCTGCCATCTTTAAGGCCGGGGAGAGCAAAGAGATTTTGAGATCCTGACCACATGGGGAACATATGGAGAAAGGCGGTCCCTCAGGTATGCAGGCCCCTGGCCATAAAGGACTTTATAGGTAAGAACCAGCACCTTGAAGCGAACCCATTATACTATAGGTAGCCAGTGCAGTGCTTTCAGCGCAGGCTGAATGTGTTCTCTCAAAGGGAGACCCAGTAGCAGCCTGGCTGCCACTTTCTGCACCAGCTGTAGCATCTGGATTTGGGACAATGTAGAGAGCCCCATGTAGAGAGCATTGCAGTAGTCTAGTCTGGAGGTGTCATTGCATGGATCACTGTTGCCAGGTCATCGCTTTCAAGGTAGAGTTTATTTGCTACTCGCTCTGGAAAGGTAAGGTTTGTGGCTAGAAGAGAACTAGAAGGGATGAGGGGGCTGGAAATCTCCTGGAATTACAGCTGATCTCCAGATAAGGCTGCCAGGTCCCCCGGAGGGGCAGAGGTTCGCCTGCTCTAGGGTCCCAACCTGCCGGCCCGAACTCCACCCCCAAAGTGCCTGAATGGGGCCAAAGTGCTTGGCCCGATAACGTCACCCCGAGGTGACGTCATCACGCTGGGCATGTCATCGTGGGATACGCTAGCGATCGACCTTAAAACTCTATGGTACCATAGAGTTTTAAGGCTGAATGCTAGAGTGTCCCTCGACGACGTGCCCAGCATGATGACGTCACTTCTGGGCTTCTCCCCCCACCCCCGCTGGAGACCCTATCTCCAGACCACAGAGATTAGTTCCCCTGGAGAAAATGGCTGCTTTGGAGGGTGGAATCTACAGCATTATACACAGCGGAGGCCCTCCCATCCTCAAATACCAGCCTCCCTAGCTTCCACCCCCCACCCGCATTTCCTAGAATTTCCCAACCAAGAGTTGGCAGCTCTATAAAGAGGCATTCTGTCGGTTATAATTTCTACTAACCCTGTTCACAAGTTACAATAAATACTGCATACTTGTTTTTCCTTTATATATGTATTGAATAATTCTCATATTAAGTTCAATGCATATACATGAGTTTGTGATTTAAACCCCACATTTGTCCATGTACTGGTTCCTAGTTTCATTTGTAAAGTGAACACACATTGGCTGTTCCTTACAAACAGATATTATGTACACACATGCAGGATGTACATGCGTTGATTTAATGTGTGAACAGGGCTACTGTTACTGCAGAATTGTGAGTTGGCAACCGTTGGTAAGGATTACAAAGGAACACGGGTGACTTTCACATACAGGTTTGAAGTAAGTAGCCACTTGCTTGGGTGCAGGAGTCTGTTTTATTTATTCTGGTTTCCTTTTGTTGTGTCGTTAGTATATGGGGGAAAGGGTGGGCTACTCTAATCAAATTCTTTGCTAGCCG